AATGCATTCTATAAAAGAGGTCCAAATTCGAGATCCAGGTTGCTTTTTTTGAATAAATCTTCGATCAGTGCTTCCTACTACTAGTCCATTAAGACCCTGACCCTCCATTATACCTGCTTCATCCATATTCCATCTGTTGGCCGGCTTAATAGCCTTGATTTCAGGGATTGCGAGGTTCCGGAACCACTTCTTAATAATATCAGATGTAGCACCTGAAACTCGTGCAGAATCGATTTGATGTTGCTTCTTAGTTCCAATATTAGGATGCCTTCGAAAAAAGCTATGTATCCATTTCTTTCCAAGTGAGGGATCCTCCCCTCGTACAATAAGGAGGTGCTCTGCCATCTCTCTGATTTGACGATGTGTAGGGCTAGTACCAAGAGCTTCCTGTACTAATATCCATTCTGCTAGTCGATTCTCCTGAATTGGAGATAACTTTTGAAGTATTTGGGCGCCTTTTTGATGCGAAACTCCACCATATATTCGATCGTGAAGTGTGGTACGTGGAACACCATAATCCAAGCTAGCTCTTCGTATGCTTGCTCCATTTGTAATCGCTCTAAGAGCCTCTGCGATATCTTCTTCGGTATATCTATTCTTCATATCACAATTATAATAATATCAAAATTTCAAATCAATTGATTAAAGCATTGTTGAGTTATTCAAAGTATAAATTTTATAATTACTCAAAGCGGTGTGGTTTTTGAGGTGGTCGAAAAGAGGGGGTGGTCGGAAAGTGGGGTAGTTGACTTATCAACCGGTAGTAGTACAGTATCAGGAAGAGATCGATAATCAAAGGAGATGGGTTACCTCGTAAATGAGTAAGTAAAGTTATATATACCTACCTACCTTTAATAAATGAGTAATTAGAATATGGAGGTATATATGAAGTGATTATCCGTCTACTTCTCTCGTCACCATCCTAACATGAGCATTTCTATAAAAAAATTATCTTTTTCATAGAGGGATTTCATATATCTACCATCAGATCTCCATTCCCTTTCCACTCTCCCCCAATCCCAATCCCAATAACATCCCCCCGCCCAAAAACAATCTCTAAATACACAATCCAGAACCACAAATCCATTCCCATCAAATCGACAAATCGACATCGAATTCACAATTACGAATTGCGGGTAATTTTCGGGTAAACTACTCGTATAACAGATAGTATGTTTTACATTCTAAATATATATATATATCAAAAGTTACTTTGTACGGAAATGAATGTGTGAAGCTAAAACACTAGTCTGATTAGTTCGATTATGTAAATTACATTTAAATTAGGAGATTTTATGATACAATACGAAATATAATAATCATAGTGTCAGACCCGTAAGAATTATACAAATACACACACACCGATACGTACACATAACATCCCCCTATTTCTCCCCCCAACATCTCAAATCCAATTACATATATCAACCAACCTCTTTTCCGACAAACCCATTCAATTTTTCTCCTCCCTCACATTTGAATTATCCTTTTCCGCCGCCCTTACAACGCCCTCTCCGGCTTCCTCACCACTAGCCATACTACCCCATCCACTCGCCACCCCCTCCGTTCTCTCCTCCTCTCTCACATAATCCTTAACCTCTCTCCACTCCGCCAGCGCATATTGTATCTCCACCGGCGAATACCAACAGAGTCCCCAATAGACCATAAAACTGACAAATAGTCCAATCGGATATGCAAAATAGTATGCTCTTGTGACACCCATTGGAGCTTTGACTCCCATATTATTTAGGAATCCGTAGAAATTAGGTATTATACCAATGATATATGCTGCATACGCGCGCCAATTCCAGCCACCTTTGTAATGATATACGGCTTTTTTATCCGAGGTGTATAGATCTGGGATTTTGAGGAAACCGCGGGCGATGACGAAGTAGTGGCAAAGAAGAACGCCGGTGATAGCTGAGAGGAAAATTTGGTAGGAGGCGAGGAAGGAGATGAAAATCACGGCTGATTTGAGGAGATACCAGGGTTGTATTACGATGGAGAGGACGGCGCAGATGAAGAAACCGGTACGGATGGTTATGTATTTTGGGACTAGGAGATGATTGTTAGAAACCATCGGGATATTATGTGTGGTAAATTTGACATGAAGCAGAGAGGAATTGGTTGACTTACAAAGAGCAGCGATATCATTTCCAGCGGGAATAGAATTTTCGAAAATCGAAGAAAAGATTGCGGAATAAGCGAAGCAAGCTGCGATGAAGAAGCACCCAGCTCGAGTTGGTCCATCGTATGTTCGTTCAAGAATTTGGTCGAGGTATGTAAGGGGAGACCATATAATTTCGCCGAAAAGTACTTGACTTGAGGAGCTTACTAAATTACCGATGATGGATACGATTAACTATTGCACACATTAGTATGGGAATGTTGATAGATAAGTTTATGTTGGCGAAGTAAAACAATAATACGAACATTTGAAATGGGAAATCCGACTAAATTTCCCCAAATAACATCGTTTGGTTTCCGAGCATAACGTTGGAAATCCGCTGCATTGGAAGCAAATGTGGCACAATTTGCAGCTCCAAGAAGTATGAATCGTACAAGAAGCCATGATCGTTCTGAACCTTTGACAGTACCCGGTTGACGAGCGACAGGTCCGATGCCACCTGCCATGGTCAAGGTCCACGCACACATTGCAATTGCAGAAATGATAAAGACGATAAGTTTGGCATATACAAGACCTTTCATCTGTTCTCGCATTAGTATTGGCAACTTCGATTAGTACTTGAAAAGGACCAACCTTTGGGACAGGAATAATAAGGAAACAGCAAGTGAGAATCCAAAAGATTCCAAGTCCAAGCATACCGCCAGAATCAAGAGCAGATCCTTCTCCCATGACATTTTTAAAATTGGCTACCCGCGGACTGAGTGTATGAAGCATAACATAAATGCATTCACCTCCTTGGACCGCATTAACACCATTCCAAACAATGGCCATTACAGCACGATTGAAAGTGGGCCACCATGCACCGAAGACACCAAATGCCGCTCTGTTCAGTATAGGGTAACCACTAGGTGATGAAAGTATTGTCAGCGGATGTGAAACAGTGGAAGCGTGTGAGATGTTGAGGATCGCTGAAGGAATTGGACAGATTCATCCAATATCAAAATATGGAAATAGGAGATGTTGGATACAAAAACTGGACAATTGGAAAGGTCATCCAATTAAAAGAGGACAGAAACAAGAATATTTCAAACTCACATATGATAGACAGCTCCCGATCTGCCATTAAACACGATCACAACAGCAATCAAACATTGACCACCAAAAGCACAGAGAACCGACTCCCACATGCTCAATCCCAAAGCTTGGGCACTCGAAGCTGCATACCATGTTGAAACCGTCGAAGCTATCACAACACACATCAGCATCAAACTCAACCCTATACATAGACCCAATGATAGTTTTGCGAGACTTACTTGCAGAAAACCAAAAGGTAAGATAAGTCCAAACATTCCAAGTACGATCGGCTAATTTGAGAGGTCGAATATCATCATTATCTAGCCAATTGTCCTTTCCATGAACATTCGCGGTTCCTTTTGCTTCGAAATGCGGATTTCGTAGTTTTCGGCGTAGAACACCAAAGAGGTTGGAAACCATATTAAGGATGGTTGCGCGATGAATGTGATTAATCCACACAATAGATGTTGTTATTGGTATTGGTATTGGTATTGGTATTGGTATTGATGTTGATGCTGATTCTAACGCAGAATGGAAATGAATAGAAGGTAAGAAGAAAAGAGACTACCGGGTACTAACGGTAGAATGATCGACATCTCATCTATGAGGTCAATTTATACATTTCTCTAGGTCTACCTAGTAGGTCGAAAGATGTACTACTCATCTCATCCCCACCAGATAAGTATCAAGCTGAGTATGATCATACATCAGTCCAATATTCAATTCACCACATACACCGTACATATCCACTCTCCTTCCCAAAGAAAAGTACCTGCAGAAACTCACGAGACTCATGAGGGAAAAGAAAATATAAATCTGCAATGTAACCTAATATTCTCACTCCAGACAATTCCTCGCAGCCATGCATGGCGTAAAACGGTGTCGTTCCCCGCTCAGAGATTAGATGTAACCCACCCAACGTGCGATCTCTCCCCAGCTCCTGTACCCCAAGACTCCAATTGAGGATGTCGGGAATGCAAAATCAGACACGCTTGTGTGCGCCAATGTACGCCAATGTCAAACTTGTCATCAGACTCATCCAGACCTTGTCCGCCAGGAAATATGCACGAGAAAACGAGGGTTTGACATCTTGGTCCTATGTGAGATTGAAATTTATGTGCGTAGCCGTGGGTTTTAAATGAAGGAATGTGGTGATACGAATGGATAGTTACAGATGAAACGTTGATGTGTTGATGTGTTGATGTTGATGTTGATGTTGATATTGATATTGATGTTGATGTTGATACTAAATGCTAATACTGATGCTGATGCTGTCTTACGATTTATGATTCTACACGTGATGAGTTATATTACGAGGACTTTCGTAAAAGCTGTGACTTTGGATCGATGTAGGGGTTGACATCGTCGGAGGTCAGTTACCTATATTCAGTTAGATCCACTTGAAGCTTGTGATGAGTGATGAGTGAAGAGTGATAAGTGGAAAGTGAAGAGTGGAGATTAGAGATGGGAAAGTGGAGAATCACGATAAGCTCCAGAAGAAAAGAACGATAAGGATCAATCGATAGTGGGATACCCAAGTGGTTTTTTCCAAGACGACGAAGTATTATCAATCTGTCTCCTATCACGGGCCAAATGATAAACTTATAAAGATATACGTTAAATCTTAGAATGCTTCAGTATATTACCCATAAAAATCTCCATTCGGATATACATAAAATACAATATATAACAACTAACTATTCAATATATCAATCCACTCCATCTCGCGAAACCCACCGAATTCACTTATCGCATATGACCGTGTGGCGGGGTACATTCAGCCACCATTCACCATTCACCATTCACCTACACCTACACCTACCGTACTTAATCATTTATCCCCTTGATCGTCTCTGCACCCAAGACCAAGCTTTTAAACGTCTCTCATATTCTTCCTTCCTACAATCTAACCAAACCTATCACTTACCAACATTACAACCTCGCCATGTCCTCCCCCACACCCCCCACAACAACAAAACTGGAGCTTCGCACAGCCTATGGCCCCGTCTATCGCGATGTACTCAATACACCACCTCGTCCTTGCACAGATACAGAGATCCCTATTATTGATCTTTCGAATATAAATTCTCCTGATTTGAGTGATCGTCAGGCTTTGGCTGCAGAAGTACGTGCTGCGGCGGTGGGGACGGGATTCTTTTACGTGAAGAATCATGGTATTGAAGAGGCTGTTATTCAGAAGGCGAAGGAGCAGGCTTTGTGGTGAGTCTTGTAATAGAAAGGCAGTGGATGAAGAAGGGGGAATAGAAGCATCGAGAGAGGTTATGATGTTGAAAATAGTTATCTTAATGCTCACTGCTTCTCTTCTGAGTATGGGAGACAACGAGTATCATTAGCGAATAGATGAATGAGAGCTAACATAAAATCACGAGAATAGTTTCTTCAAACAGCCATACGAAGAAAAAGCAAAGATAGATAAAAGTCACTCCCGTTATTTCAATGGCTACATGGGATTAAAAAGTTCAAACATAAGTCCCGGAGAAAGTGTAGACGTCAAAGAATCCGTTCGTCTCCCTAGCCGAAACTTCCATACCCCCCTTTCTATCCCCCCCAGACTAATAACATCCCCAGATCGCCTGGCGCTACGAGCCCGAACATGATCCAGATCATCCCCAACCCCTTTCCTCCATCCCTGCAGAAGTAAAACCCTGGATCCGAGGCGAACCCTTCGTCTGGGAAGGAACCTCGCATCTCCCCAATTTCAAAACTGACACTCTCGCCTATTGGAAATCTTGTCTCTCACTCGCGCGCAAACTCGTTCGAGTCTTCGCCCTCAGTCTCTCACTCCCAGAAGACTATTTCGATTCTCGCGTCACCTATCCCGGAGCCGACGGCCTCTACAATTACTACCCGCCCAGTACCGAGGCCGAAAGATCAAACAACAGTGTAGGACTCGGTTCTCATACCGATCTCCAACTCTTTACTCTTCTCTGGCAAGATATGATAGGTGGTCTCCAAGTACTCAACAAAGAAGGACAATGGATTATGGCGGTTCCAGTGGAAGGAACGATAGTCGTCAATATTGGCGATTTTATGATGAGACTTTGTAATGATATGTATAAGAGTACTGTCCATCGAGTTTATAATCGAGCAACCGTGGAGAGAATTTCGATGCCGTTTTTCTTTGGTAAGATTCTTTTTTTCTTCTCGTCAAGACGTTCGAAAGGAAGTGCTAATGTGGCGATAGGACTCAATTTCAATTGCGTAGAGGGTGTAATTTCCACCTGTACTGATGAAAATAATCCACCGAAATATGAGCCCATATCTTGTGGTGATTGTGAGTATCCAGATCCATATAATACCATTAATTCTCAGAACCTCACAGCTTACAAAATCAGGGTGTCAACTTAGGTTCAAATCGGAAAATGATGAGTTTAAAGAGAAGGCTGCAATGGCGAAAGCACCCAGTGCCGTTGTTGTCAAGGCTTAAGATTGGAGGAAAATCCACTTTGTGTCGAGTTTTCGGAGATGGGAAACACTCTGTGATAAATTTCACGACCATTGGAAAATGGTTTTGGATATTCTCCTGGAGGAACATTTATTACATCGCAAATGATTTAGCGAATGAATCTTCACAAAGGTTTAGATATGTGTTTAGTCCGTTGAATAAATTTATATCCCATTTGACATTGCAAATTGAGATAAATGTGCTCTGCTAGATATTCTTCTAGCAAGTCACGAGCACCATCCAGCTGTAAATAACTCTCAACAAAGCGAAGTTTGTATGACCATCTCAGGTGCCATTGATGTATCTCCGTGCTCCCATTCTAGATTGAAGGTGTGCATGATACTTGTAGAACCTCACTGATGGGCAGTCCAAGGAGTACAGATATATGCCAGAGTTTTGACAAAAATGCTCCACTAGTGATTAGATGGATTCTTGATAGTAAGAGTCGAGAGATGGAAATGGTAGTTGGAGAGTCGAAAGTTCGTATAAAAGCAAAGCCCGACTTATTGTGCGGGGAGCCCTTGCGGAGAAGTTTATTCATGCGGTTGTTAAAATACTTTGCAATTATCCGCGGGCGTATAGTCGACACTGGCTCTTCCTTGCGATCACACTCATGCGCCGCATGATTTCGACATATCGATTCCATATACTCTCCCTCCATCCACCAACACCATTTACACCTCACCCCACAAAATCCTTAAAACCATTCTCTATTCTCCATTTTTCATTCCCCTCCTCCTCACAGAACCCCCATCACCAACTCCAACAAATCAAAATAACCCTCTCTTCTCCCCTCCCTCCCCTCCCCATTCCCACTCATCTCCAACCCCAACCCCACCAATACCGTCCTCCTCTCCTCCGGATCCCGTCCCAATATCATCGACCCAATCTGACTCGCATACAAATGCCCAATCCTCTCTCTCTTTTCTCCTCCCGCACCGAGTAATGTTCTAGGGGTGAGATGTTCGAGGGGGAGTATCATATTTGGATTTCCATCTCCGTTTTCATTGGAGGATAAATTCGAGGATGAAGGAAGCGGTATCGAGGTATCGTATGAGGTGGGAGATGCGGATGTGAGTGGGATTTGTATCTATATCATGACATGTTAGCTTAATATATGTTCTTTGGTATTTAACTTGTGAGGTGGTGATATATGAGGAGAGGAGACGAGAAAAGAGGAAAAGAGAAAGGAAACACAAACCCATTGTCCCAATCTCCCTCCTTGCGTAATAGTAATTAAAATTTTATCGGCGAAATACATGCATGATACATTTGTATCTATGCCGTTTACTTTCGCAGAAGCGGTTTGTGAACGGGCGGGGAAGGGGGAAGGGAGGATTTCTGAAATGGAGGGGAAGTTTAGGGGGGAGGTGAGTGCGGTCATGATGCGCTGATAAGGTATAGAGGTAGAATATGTGCGTGTTGAATTTTTTGAGGTAGAGTTTTGGTTGAATTATTTTGTTTGTTTGATGGGATGGAGAATGGGAATGTGTAGTGAGGGGAAGATGTCAGTCAGCCTTGCTGCAAGCTGGAGAGCTTTGACATTTGGAAATGTCCATGTGGGTGGCCCAAGCTCCATACCTAAAACTGGAGCTCACCGGGAGTTTAACGTCACCGGGAGCTCAAAGACTGCGCCAACATTCAAGTTCTCGTGTATCATTCTGGAGAGCGATCTCACAGGGGCCTGTACAGTTTTCAAAGCCATGTCATGAAGCCATTTTATTCTGTTGCTACTATTGTACTATCATTATCGCCATGTATTAAATCCTCGCAACAACTCCAAACGAAGATGACTCTTCATCCCATCATTGCAATCCATGAAGCCAACATACGCAATATTTGCAAATGTAAAAGTGCTCCCCGCAGATATAGCGACTTAAGGTATTTAAACAACCTAACAATGTCGAGTTTTGTAAGATGCCAGAACATGAATCTCGTTTCCTCCCTCGTCCACCCGCATTACGTCCCTCCCTTCCATCTCTCCACTGAATCGTACAAGATAACATAACATCCGCATGAATATAGCTCCATCAGATTGATCGAAAGTATGCGCAATCTACCAACCACCACTAGGGCCAGTAACATTCCATCCACTACTACTGCTTGCATTGTTATCATACCCTGTATTACCCGGTTTACTTGCCTTGTTCTTTCCCCATTTACCTCCTTTACTACCCTTGCGACCTCTACCAGCATATTCATTATCACTAGGTTCCGACCCCACCCAGCTTCCCGCGAGACTCAGAGCAGTAGGAGTTCTCGCATGAGTCTTTTTCTTTCCTCCACCATCATACTTCCCAATATTCACATTTCCAAATCCCGCGTAACCACCCTGATTCTTACTATCCCAATTCCTCAATATCTCACTGCTAGTAGGTGTGTGATCCCTAAACTGCGGATTTCCTTCTTCTACGTCCTCATCATGATCTCCTCCCTCGCCGGAGTTATGACCATCGCCTCCCCATTGACTTCCTTTATTAGAACTTGCTTTTTTGCCACTATTGCTTTGGTTTTGGGTTTTCTTGTTGTTCCAGCCTTTGCCCTTGGCACTTTGTACGACGTTATAGCTTGTATTGGTTGGTCCCCAGTCATTACTACTATCTTGCTGGTTTTGATCTTCCTCTTGATCATCGTTGTGGGCGGTCCACTCGGGATCATCGTAGCTTTTGGACTTTTGATTGTTACTTGACTTGTTGTTGGGTGACTTTTTGGAGGCGTTGTTGTTCGATTTGGTGTTGTTTTGAGAAGCTGTACGAGAGCCGGACTTGTCATTGTTTTGTTGATTATTAGGATTTCCCCATCCTCCCGAATTGGCATTACCTTGTTTCTCGTTCGAACCTCCCCAGCCTCCGGTTGTGTTATTGCTTGACTGGTCTTTGGAGTTTGATTGGCCGTTATTATCATTGTTGCCCTTGCTTGAAGATTTGTTATTTGACTTATTGGAATCCTGATTATCTGCTTCCCAACCAGAATTTTGATTGTTGGAGTTATCATTAGAGTCTTGATTATTATCATTGCCCCAGTCCCAGTTTTGATTGTTCGAATTATCATTCGAGTCTTGGTTATTATCGTTACCCCAGCCCGAGCCCTGATTGTCGGAATTCTCATTCGAGTTCTGCTTATTATTATTGCCCCAGCTGGATTCTTGATTGTTCGAATTATCATTTGACTCCTGGTTATCATCATTGCCCCAACTAGAATTCTGGTTGTTCGAATTATTGTTTGACTCTTGATTATTATCGTTATCCCAACTTGAGTTTTGATTGTTCGATTCCTGATTGTCTCCTCCCCAGCCAGAGTTCTGATTATTGGAGTTGACATTCGAGTTGCTGTTGTCATTTCCCCAAGAGGTATTGTTCGCTGCAGCGTCTGCATCTTGCTTGGTATCATTTCCCCAACCAGAATCCCCGCCTGTATCATTATTGGCACCCCAGCTGTTTGAGTTACCAGATTGATCATTATTATCTACGCCCCATGCATTGCCGGAGTTGTTGTTGTTGTTAGACTGATTACTCTGATTCGCTTGACCCTTTTCGATCTTCTTGTTGTTCTTCTGCTTGTTGGAGGTCTGCGTTTTGTGACTGCTAACAGAAGCGGCCCGTTGATTGCGGTTCTGACCATTATTCCCTGAGCCACCCGAGCCTTGATTGTTGTTTGTATCGTTATTGCCCCGATCACCTGAATCCTGGTTATTATTGGCCTGCTCTTCATTATTATTACAACCAGAGCCCAAGCCATTGTTGTCTGCTGAGCTAGAGTCTTCTTTGTTATTTGTATCATCGACCCAACCACCTGGCACATGCTGGCTGTTGTTATTGCCACTGCTACCCTGCTGCTGGCGCCGATTATTGGAAGAAGCCCGGTTGGAATGGTTATTGGAAAAATTGCGCTGCGAATTCTGATTGGGGGTATGTCTCACTGTATTGTTCGAAAAATTGCGGGGTAATTCTGGTTGAAATTGGTCTTGATCATGAGGAGCGGGCCCGTTACCCCCAGACATATTATACATCGGAGGCGAGCCACCAAAATGCGCAGAGGTTGGAGCAAAGGTACCAATTGGTACTTGGGCTGGCGTGAGAAGTGTCGCAAAAGGATTGCCATACACTCGACCATGGTAAACTCGAAGAACACCACTCTTCGTGTCAAGAAATGCGTTTGGACGAGGGTCAGACGGGGTTTCAATCACATCTTCGCGAAGTATAACTTCAGCCCTCATTTCTTGAATGATCCTTCCCTCCATCATATGATTCAGATAGCGCGATGGTTTTCGATTTTTTTGAACAACTTCGATCTCAGATTGATCGGACTCGTCTGAACTGTCTTGATCGTATTGGCGATTATTATTTCTGGGCTGTTGATGATTGCCACGTTCCTTCGCACTAGAATTCCGTTGATGCTGGTTTGTTTGAGAATTTTGATTTTGCTTGAGCCTCAAAATTCGTGGTTGTGGGTTTTGGTTGTTGTTGCTCGGTTGTTGTTTTTTCTTCAGTGGTTTAAATGATTTATTGGTCAGTGCAACTTCACATTCACTGCCCTCGCTGGAATCGCTTGAATCTCCTGCGCTGCTTTTACTCTTCGATTTCTGACTAGCTTTACATTCCAAGCATTCGCATGGGCGAGGTTTTGCTGAAATTTCCGAAGTATTCTTCTTCAATGCAGACTTAAGTTTGGGTATTGACTCTTTGGGAGTTGGATCTTTAGGAGCTGGCTCTTTAGAAGTTGACTCTCTGGGAGTTGGTTCTTGAAATTTGACTTTCTTGTCGACTTCCTTGGTCACTTGAGGTTTCTTCGATTCTGATTCCTTGACTTTGGGCTTTTCGGGTATCTTGGCTTCTGGCTTGGGAGGAGGTTCTTCATCGGAAGAGCTGGCGGAAGAGGTACCAAAATCAGAAACTTCAACTTCAATTTGGACACGGCGGCGAATACGGAGTGGACTTGCTATGGCAACCTTGGGATCGGCCATATCGGCCATATCGGCCTTGGAGTTAGATATGCTAACAGATCGATATGCAGCCTTCGTCGGCGCAGGGCCAGCGATCCACTCGAATACACTTGCCGGGCGTTGCGGCATTACGGAGAGCTTTCAACAACACGATATCGAACTTCGAATATTTGACTAGGTATCTTATATGTCTGTCATCAGAAGCAGGCTTTAACGATAAATCTTTTAGTGCTCTAGACATGAAATGCCTTGAGGATGTGTAATCGGAAGGCCTTACGTTGAATGTGCTATACGTTCTTATACACTGATGTAGAATGAACACAAATAGTTGAAGAAATGGTCCACCGCATCTGACATATGATATGTAGAATGAAAGAGAGAGAACCCCCATTCAATGAAGAATGAAACTCATCAAGAGAACTCGATACCGAGAACCAGTCATCAAGAGGCTCGATAATCCAGCATATGGTATGATCAGTACGTCAGGAGTGACGCCTGCAAAATGATATTTAGAAAACTCTCCGATAAGCCTGGGCTCTATGATGAAGACATGAAGTTATTTTGTGACTTGAAGTTCAAAGGTGAAGCTTTCTCGATCATGATGTTCATTAACTCTGGGTAGTAAGCATAGAGACCACAAGACATATAAGATGAAGTATAAAGATGATGTTAAGGAGGATTAAAAAGAGTTCAAATGTTGACTTGAGAAAAGATAGAGAGAGATGTCCTTTGGATTTGGATATAGAAAATCAAGGGAAGGGAGGGGAATGAAATAACTTGGGGGGGAAGGGGAATGGTTGTTCAAAATCTTTATTTCTCTTCCACATGGAGTCCCTTAGCGTACCTTCCCATCTGAGTCGCTAGCATTCCCTCAGAAATCATTGCTGATAACCTCAACTTCTAAGATTATACTCGCATCTCATAACTCATATTTCATGATTCCAAGTTATCGGGCCGGTGTAGATGAGGCTTCAAGTAGCAAAATCGAATAAATATCTCGAGCGTTTTGCTCTCACGTGATATGTCAAGCTCCACGGCTGACTTCCTTGCACTGAAACAGACAGACATCAGAAGTTGGGATAAAGGTTGAATGCGGCTGATGAATAATTATCGTTTCTGCTCTGTGGAAAGTTTGCCTGCCTGTAAATATACAATACAATCAAAACCTTAACCAACAAGAGATTGCAATTTATCAACCAGTCTCCGTTTGTCAAGCATTCGTTATTCCTTAATCAATGCCCAAGTAAAGTCAATTTGATCCAAATCCCAACCAAATTTTTTAGCTATCAACAAAAGAGGGTAGATTTGAAGTATGATGGATATCGAAACCAGTTGTTTGAATATGGCCTAAAGGATAGACAATTTCCCACCTTCCCTATGGGCTACTACAATTGGACGAACGGGAACAGGAACCATCGGTCGACCAGGTGAGGGCACCTAACCTTAGGATTATATTTCGAGAGCTTTTATAAGAGAGAATAGAGCCTTGCCTGCTATTCCTGGTCTCGCTCCATGTCGTCAGAATCTTCCACTTTTACATGTGAGATATAACATCCTGCAATGCCACCCTATATGTTGAGTCTTACAGGCTTGTCCCAAAGTATCCTTCCTGATGAACTTCGTGAGTCACTTAGTTGATGAAACTATATCCATGGCAATAATGTCGCTGGCGATATCACAACTTAGCCTTAGCTTGAAGTTCTCCTCTTTTCCACTCTTTGTTGATTGTAAGGTTTCTCCAATAGTTCCAAACTCCAGCAAGTCCAGCTAATGGTGGGCATAAAAGTAATAACCAGGCCCACCATCTGGGACTCTTGCCTTGTATACTTTCCATAACCTTTTGTAGCTCTGTCCTCAGTTCATCTTTTCCCTCATCGTTCCAAACTACCAATCCATATCCTTCCCCTCTGGCTTGACATCTCTTTGCCTTTTCTCTCACATCCCCTTGGCTCTTAACCCTGTTCTCAGCATCTTCCTCGGTCAGATGTGAGTCCCTGTCCCTTAATCTTTGCATTTGTATCTTTGGATCCCTTACGGCCACGACGAGGACAGTACCACATATAACATCGATTCCACTCTCAAACAATAATGGCACATCAAGAACCACTGCCCAACAGCCCTTTAGATAGCATCCGAGCAATTGCTTATACATCTCTTTTCTGACTGCCGGATGCACGATTCCATTCAACACTGCCCTATCTCTTTTTCTCTCCTCACTATCCCCGAACACTCTTCTACCTAGCGCAGGTCTATTCAACGGTGCGCCTTTTGTATTATCATGATCGGGAGAAGGAGGAAGGAGGAGATCGGGAGTAGTTGGTGAGAAATGTGCGACAATCTTGTCGTAACCTGGAGTCCCGGGTTCTACAACTTTGCGCGCAAGTAAATCGGCATCGATAATGGGAAGGGAATATGGAGCTTGAGAAAGTATTGATGAAACCGTAGATTTACCGGTTGCGATAGAACCGGTGAGACCAATTAGTAGCATGTTGCTGATTTGTGGTGGGTGTTATGATTGAAGTTTGAAAAAGGAAGGAGTGAGGTGCGGTTTTCGAAGTTACGTCGTTGCGGGGAATGCCGAGGCATCTCTTGAGCTTAGACCACATGCCTAGCATCTAGATTCTAAACACTCAACTCATGCCGCGGTCAGGACTGTTTGTTCTTCTGACCGAAATAGCAGATTATACCAGTTCTCACTTCCTACTGCAGTCGGGGCATAGAATAATCCTTTTGGATCATACTTCTGTTTCAAGCTGTACAGACGGTCATGATTGGTGCCATAGAAAGCTTGCTGAAAGTTTGGCTCTAGCATATCTGCCTCGGACATATACGCACCACCATCAGGAGGAACATTTCTCCATAGTTGGATCCAGTTGTAAGTAAGTATTCCAGGTGCCAGTGCAATTGCTGCATTGTCAGCATCTGCAGCCCAGAATCTGCCATAATAGCGTGCAAGCAAGTGTTTATCCAAGCTGGGCTCACTGAGTTATCATTCCCCGCATTGTCTGCTGGCTGAATGTTGAAAGCTAAGAACGATCCTCCAGCCAAAATACTTTCTTTAATAGCGTAGAAGGTGGTGTCGGTAATGGCCTCGTTCAGAAAATTGGCTTTTGGGAAGAGACAGGAACCGGTCTTGATATTGACAGTACCAACGACCTCGAGAGGGAAATTGTCCCACCATGCATCTTAGAATTCAGTGTATTCTGTAATGGAAGGAGTAATGCTGATAGCAAAGTTGCTAAGCTCGGCGAACCATGGAGCAACCAAAGTTTCAAGTTCAGCTGCAGTGTAGTTTGGCGCAAATAAAGGTTGCAATGCAAATGACCACGCATCAGTACCTGTGGCGAGGATGGCGAAATACGAATAAATACCCCTTTCAGCGTGTTCAATGAAGTGATCGAAATAGGTGCGCACACCAGCCTAGAATGTATCAGCGGTGATATTACCACCAACCTCAAAACTGAATTTCATGGCAGTTGAGAAAAGGACGGGGTAAACTTTACTGGTGACGGATGTTACAACACCAAAAGTCGAACACCACCTCCTCGGAGAGCCCAATAGAGATCGGCATTCTCTGTGGCTGAGGCGGTAACGAATCGCCTATCTGGAGTGACAACTTCCAGCTCGAGAACTTGGTCTGCCGCCATACCGTAAATGGAGGACAAAGGGGAATGTTCGCCTCTTGCAACATAACCACCAGCAACACCTACTGTTCTACCTTTACCTCCAACAGCTGTGATACCGTTGGCCGTGCAAATTCATATATTTCGAAGGCTTGAATACCTGCTCCCATTTTCACAGCTTTTCCTGTATAGTAACTGGTTGAATAATTAGGAATGTACTCGAGATGCTTCAAGTTATGAGTCTAGATGGAAAGCGCGCCAGCACCACTAGATTTTCTATTGAAGTCATGACCTGTGTTTTTGACAACAAGACGTAAGTTGGCATTGCGAGCAAAATCGACCGCAAGTTGAATTTGGGCAACGTGGGAGACGTTTAGCGCATACACGGGATAAGCTCCTAACGTACAGCTCGCGCTAGTATCATTGGTAGGCATACAAGTCCGTCCCTGATAAAGGGGTCACATGATTGAGGCGGGATCCGGTGCGCTATGTACCGTTAGCATATACATTTGCGACGATGTTAGTCTGCACACTCTATAGAACTGTTTGTCCAGTTATCCGTGATATACAAACACTCGGCGGTGTTTTCATGATGAGGCCAGTCAGCATAACATGGCGCTTCAAGAGGGACTGTCGAGATCAGGGTTCCCCCGGCGAGTATATCAAACATATCCCATGTCAGGGTCGCAATCCATACTGCATCACTGGGATAAACTTTGCAAGAACGGAATTTTTTGCTAAGGTTACTGCTGCTGGTATCGAACTCAAACAATTCAGCATTCGACAGTCCAATATCTGTGAGGTTTGTGACTATCGCATCCGTGAGCTGAACTTCTCCATCGACAAGTGCACCGGCTGGAGCTAATGTGGAAGAGTTGACAGCTGACACAAAGTTAGTGAGTGATCTTTAGACATGGCTACATTCTAATAATGTTAGTCTACTTACAGTAATAAGTTCCATTGACGACGATCTCAGTCGCTAAACCCTGTACAAGCGGGACAGCGAGGAGAGAAGCCAAGGCCCATCGTGCCACCGATGAAACCGCCATGTTATCAAATCAACAAACTCTAACTGCAAAAATGGATAGTTACTGGTGAAGTAAATAGATTGAGTTTCAACGCCCTTATTACGACGTGGAATATTCTTCAAAAGAATTGTCGATTAAAGAATCAAACGGGCCACCTAAGTCAAGAAACCACTAAGGGGAGACTTTTTGTATGAACTGAGCCCTGACGCAGTTCCACCCCAAGAAGGCCGAAGTACAGTATTTCGTTGCGACTGATTGCTACTTGGCTGTCATGCCAATCTATCGGACGATTCCATATTGCTATAATTTTCTGCCGGATCTAGTAAGGCATCCTATAGTGGATCAGTTGAACCCATTGCAGAAGATCCAGGAGAAATACGCATGTTTTTATCTCTCATTCTTCCCCGTGCTTCGGAGCAGTATATGGAGATTTGTAATACCAAAAATTCTAATGGCTTTCACAAACACCGCTAATAATCTACCGTCAATAATGTCATCGGCAAAATAATGTTGAAGCAAAACAAAAGTTTACATGGTCACATTTACAGCCTGCAGAAGACTATCTTTTATTCCCATCTTTCTTTAAGCTACGAGTACGTATCCTCGCAACCCTCTGTCCACTTAACGGCCTGGCTATGTGTGGATATACAATTCTGCAACTGACAAGATATGATTTCAGTTTCGACTCCTCCGAAATTTTGCCATTATTCGTCGCATGGAGCTGCAGAACTATCATCTCCCCCATGCTTCTCAATCCACAATATCTTGACACAAGATCACCGAGAGCCGCCGATTGTACTTGGTGGGGTATATATGGGCTATTTCTCAGGGTCCTGACTCCTGACGGCTTTGTCGTACGACTTACAGGATACATACATCGATGTGGACCAAAATGGCATATCGGTCTATTCCAATGGAAGACTCATCAAGAATAGCTCACCATCGATATAATAATATATTGTTATTGTCTTGAATGTGAAGGGGTTGATTTCTAGTAGGCTGAAAGCGGTCAAATGTTGCATCAGGGTGCTCGTGTGGGTGTGTTGCTCATGCGTCCACATGGGAAATTGTTAGTTACCCTTCCACCTTTTCGCTTAATACAAAGAATGAATTTTCTTCTCCTGCGCACGCTGGGGTAGTTATATTCCTCCTCAACGGGACACCAATTTTAAGCCCTATCGATCTCCTTGTTCGTCTATTCGGACGAATAACTATAAACTGCAAAGCTGCATACTTCTCCACTAACGACATGGATCTAGGTGTTTACATGCCGCGTTGAGCACGGAGTCTATACTCTGAATCTCTGCCTTATGGAAGTTGTTTCGAAGGGTTTAGGACGCTAGCTATTGTATCCATCGTATCGAAGATACTGCCAGTTTATCTCTCCTCCCCTTGACGCAAGGACTTTCGGTATCGATCTCATCAACATGCATGGTCAAGTTGCACAACTAAAAGCTTTCATTAATCAGGTATTGTGTCTGTTTTTACGTCGAACCATGATTCCGAGAATACAACGATAAAAAATTAAAAGGTACCTAAGTTGGTCATCGCTTTCTCAATTTTGATGGAATTAGCAGGGTAGTCTCCATTGCGGCCCCAGAACTCAAGAAGCACCCGACATCCCTTGGTCACAGCTGGAATGATATCCAAACAAAACCGAATATAAGCCCACAAGATCGGTAGAATCTTATCAACTCTCTTAGAGTTTTCTTCCTTTCCACACTTCAGCCGATTTACTTGCGGAAGTTTTCCTATTTTTGAAATTCTCGCCCAATTGATGTTGGTGTTGTTGACGGTTTGTCACCGCCCTGAATATCACCATCTCACTCATACACCGCACAAGGTGCGATGTGGGTAATCGGCGAGCCTGAAATTTTACACCACAGTGGCTCCCTGTCATCAAAATCTTGATATAACCTCGTCTTGTGTGAACTTGCAAAGGTACTTGTTGATATCACCCCTTCAAGAATCGATCACTTCCAGTGCGGACACAGTGTGCAAGTCGCAAAACGTTTTCTAGGAAAATGAAAAACGCTGTTGCATTTCATTATCATCGTCGTGGCAGACTAATTATCTATAATTAAGTTTTCTGTAGATCGGAGGTCATCAACCATTTTACAGATACCGGTGACCCGGGAAGTGATGCCGGAACTATGGGAACACCCGAAGTTTCCCTTGCGTGCGGCTGGAAAATACACGATCTCACAGCTGCAAAAATCAATCTAAATTCCCGCTTCTCATTTTATGATATATTCGGAGTTGCATCCTTTTTAGCAAACAAGTAGAGAGCCATACGAAGTCTATAATAATGTCCTGAAGCAATGCTTTTGGTGATAAAGGACAAGCAGCTTCCCTTCTTGAATGACCTACTCCACTACTATAGCGGTTCAAAATTTAATTTAATTAGGTAAGCTTCTGCATGGCCATCACGCTTTTGGTATTGGTTTTTGATATGTCTAATTCAAACCCAAGCCATGAGGGGTCTATTCAGATCATAAATACGAACTGGAAGCAAAAGACCCTCAAACAACACACGGCCTTATCAAGCTCGATCTAGACTGTTTCTGGTATCCAAACATGAAAGTACAGGATCTTGCACATATTATGAGGAATGCTTTACCCTAGACTTCAAAATAGTTCAATCCAAAGAAAAATCCTGGGAAATGGAATGGACTGATCAGATTGGAGGATGTACCGGATATATCGGATGTCAAAGATGGGAGGATGGAGGATTCGAATGGAATTTAAAGGGAGACGAGTAAGGGGGATGGGGATAGTGATGAGGAAATTATGAATTTTAGTGGGACCATTAAGACGACGAGTGTGGGTGTGCAGGATGGAGATGGAAAGAGTAATATTTCGGATTCGCAGTATGCGAGGAGGACTAGTGTGGAGAGTTTATAGGATAGGAATAGTGATAAGGATCACAGTACTTGGAAGTGCTATGTTGCAATGGTATTATGGAGTTTGAGTTTCTTTGATGAATCTATGGTGCTGGGACGAGGTCTTTGGATCGTATCCACCAGAAAATTGACTGACGGCAACTCTTAGTCAATCCCACATAAGCTGTTCTCAGAAGTCAGGACTTCCTAACCTACCAATTAAAGGCTACGAACCCAAGCCTCAAATGCAGCAGCGGGCCTGCAAGTCATACCAAGTGATCTACATATGCCATCATAAAGACATTGCTCTTGTCTACGGACGTCGTAGATATTCATTCAATGCTCACGGTAATTTATCGCTAGATCATTGAGTTCGTGGAGATCAAAATTAAAATGATATAGAGAAGGTTACTTTGGCTCTTGCACTAAAGATGACGCGGGCGATCATAGATGATCTACAACTTTTAAGGAGATTTTGTGCTGGCTTCTCGGGAATCTTCTTGGAATTTTCTTGTAAATCTCCAAATCATACGAGAGGAAAAAGTGATTTTTGAGTCTAGGCTGTCGGTATCTTCTCTTTCTATAACAGACAGGTGCGTTCCTCCACATCTTGGCATTCGATACATGTTCCTTCTGTAGGAAGCAAGATTTCGTAGAAAGCAAAAAGATTCCTCAAACTTTGGTGATCGCTGCCGATCCAGCAGGAATCTTTAAGTTACTGAAGAACATCTAAGCCTAAAAGAGGCAAGCTCTTTGAATTGAATCGTTCCAAATACCAAGATATTGTATTTTTGTTTAAAATCGTCATTCTTCTGTGGAAGGAATGGTATCGTGTCAAGTCGTGTGAATCAAGGTTAATGATATGTACTGGAACTTCGATTATAGCAATGAGTGCCGGTTGAAAGTCTCATCATCAGTTTGAGATGCATGGTATGAATATCGCGAAATCGAGAAAATCATACCACGCTATCGAATAATGAGCCTGTATAGGAAACATTGATAGCTTCGAGATGTCCAGATCTCATAGTTTGAACTTTGAACTTTGGGCTACATTCTTTATTATTACACAATACATCGATAAAAATCTTCTAGAACTCGAATTATAGGTCGCCAATTACTTCTTGATATGCGCCTAACTTGAAACTAAACTCCTTCCATCTATTTCCCATTCTCCAACTCTTCCAGAGATCTTCCTGCCATAATTTCTAACTCCAAAGCTTACCGAATTTATCTTTCACTTCGGATTGATTGCATCATACAGCATCATCATGAACTTTTTTAATTTAGAAGCTTTACACAGCTCAGGTGACTCACCACGCTACATGCACGACATCCAAGCTAACACTCAACTCAACGTTGTGAGGAAAAAAGAAAAAGTTTAGCTCTCCACTAAGAAACTAGTAAAGTTTACCTATTCATATGTATGAGGTCAATTTCATAATTTCCAGATCAAAAAGACACATTATTCATCTATGAAAAATAATACCAATAAGACGCAAAGAGATGAACGAAGTCTCTCCCCAGAATTTCCATTTCCACTTCGCAAATGAGCTAAGGAGTATTTTCAAGCGAGTTATAATTCGCTTCTAGTATCTTGCTAACGTCAAACTAAATCCCCCCACTGCGAAGCTGTCAGTACTGGCGTCGTTTTCACTCGATCTATTGATATTTTAGTAATCTACTAAAATAGCTCCAGCCTACCAAAAATATATAAGAAGAATTTCCTCCTCCCAAGTTCAATGAAATTTAGCTAGAAAAGAAAAGACACATATATCACATAAAGTACACATTCAATTTTCATACCCTCATTGAATACCTTGTTCAACCAAGCAACCATGTATCACGCCAGCATGCAAAAACACGCTCGCGTTCGCTATCTCGTGAGAAACGCTTCCGCTCACGGCTCTCAAGCATTGTATCCTCATCTCTGGAATCGAGGTATCATTAATCAAGTTACGCTGGCCGGTGAATCACCGCCAGCTTCAGATGATATGGCTGCGAACGATATGGCTACAGACGATATGGCTATAGATGATATGGCTACGGACAATGGTGCTCTCATCAATCAAGTTAAGCTGGCCGCTCCATCACCACCATCTTCAGAGGATATGGATACCGACAATGGTGTTCTCATCAACACCGATACCTCCGCAAGCAATCTCCCCGACGATACGGCTACCGAAAATGGTGCTCTCATCAACACCGATATCTCCGCAAGCAATGTCTGCGACGCTCTTCCCGGCGATCAAAACCTCTCTGATGCATCTACATCCGCCGAGGTTACTCTCAACACCGCAACCAATCATCCAGACAGCACCCACAAGCTCACCTCCACCCCCAACCCCAGCCTCTCCAATCATCCCAACGTCCTCTCCGACAACACCACCTCCTACGACGACGACGCCGACGCCGACGCAGACGCCTCCACCTCATCCGACGAACTAGATCTCACAATTGTGGATCTCTCCGAAGTAGCCTCCCTGCTCTGGCCCGACCGCTCCGGTTTCTGGGTCCACGATTTCGCACTCGTGCGTCAATTCGAGGAGGAAAAACGCATTGCGGATATAACAGATTGCGGGGAGGAATTTGTTCCTGGGGAGTTTGTGGAGGAGGAAGAGGAGAATGAGGAGGATGAGGAACATGATGAGGAGGAGGATGAGGAACATGATGAGGAGGAGGATGAGGAGGAGGATGAGGAACATGATGAGGAAGAGGATGAGGAGGAAATCAGTGAGAATATGAAAGCGTGGATTAAGTATAGATTTTCAGGTGCACGTAAAGAGGAGCTTAAGAAAGATTGGGAGGAGGAATTAGCTGAGGAGGGGGGAGTACGCGAATTGTCTGATTTGTGAGTTTTTTTTTTTGAAGATTGGATAGCTGTGGGGTTTTGGGGGGGGGGGGAATACTGAGATATGGAAATACCCTCATGATGATGGGAAGAGCGGGAGTTTAAGTAAGGTCTTTTGGGGGGACTTGCCTTTCGAAAAGGTATATAGCGATAGCGATAGCAATAGTAATAGTAATAATAATAGTAATAATAATATTCAGCGTTCAAAACACCTGAGCAATTAAAATAAATTCTCATGATACAAAACTATACCTCATAAATGGTGCCGCACAATCCTGAAATCACAAATTTATCTTCATCTATCCCTCTCTCAACAATCTATTCCCAAACCCCCAAAATAACCCAAATGAACTCCCCCCCCCGTAAAAAAAAAATCTTCCCCAAAATGACCTTGAAAAATGACGTTTACAAATCCACACTAAGAAATCCAAACCACCCTCCCTATTCCCAAACCGGACAAGTGCAGCCCTATCGGATCAGTTAAGAATATCGACCGAACATCATTTTCGGGGGTGTTGACCCGATCTTCGATAGAAGATGAATGAGAGGAGACGAATGATTGTGGGTTGATAGAAAGGGAATTCTCAAGCATATATGATAGAATGTGAGAAGTCAAACTTTAAGTGAGAATGTTAAGGCATCAATACGTAAAGAATCCTTTCGAGCACTTGCTCACAGGATTATTGAGGGGGATTTACACATGTACCATGGAAGTCTACTGCAAATCTTGCATCTCGTTTTGTTCGGATGTGATTTGGGATACTAGACATTCACATAGCCTTCCACAACTCTCATATATATCTAATTTCTGTTTGACACTCGAGCTTTTTTTCATTTCATTCCATCATCGTAGAAAGCCAACTTTTGAATCGCAAAAAAACACCGAAATATTAGTTCCCCCAGTTCTACTCCCGTCACTCCAGACCGGATTTCCCTGAAGTATACATTTTTGTTTTCATCCTCTGTCATCTTCTGCTTTTTTCTCCTATGTGCATCTAAAATCATCTTATTCCTCATGCCTCAACAATTTCTCCATCGGTAACACATCCATGACTAGCATCTTGTACCAATCTCGAGTATTTGGCCAAAGTACCCTTGTTGTATTTCAAAGGAGGTGCGACGAATTCTTTTCTCCTCCTCTCCAATTCCTCCTCACCACCCTCAACCTCCAAATCCAATACTCTTGTCTCAGCATCAATGACAATAGTATCACCATCTCTAACCAATCCAATCGGCCCACCAACTTGTGCCTCTGGTACAATATGTCCAATCAAGAATCCATGAGATCCTCCACTGAAACGTCCATCGGTAATAAGAGCGACATCCTTTCCGAGTCCTGCACCCATGATTGCCGAGGATGGTTTTAACATTTCTGGCATACCTGGTCCACCCTTTGGTCCTTCATAACGAATGACTACAACAATCTTCTCCCCCTTCTTGATTTCGCCACGTTCAAGGGCTTCAATGAAATCATTTTCGGCATCATAAACCTTAGCTTTTCCAACGAATCGTAATCCTTCTTTACCGGTAATTTTACCAACAGATCCACCTGGTGCGAGGGAACCACGGAGAATTTGGATGTGACCAGTCTTCTTGATAGGGTTTGAGAATGGACGAATAATTTCTTGGTCGGATGGGAAATCACGAGCATCCTTGACGTTCTCAGCGAGGGTCTTGCCAGTAACAGTCATTCCTGATCCATCTATGACACCTTCCTTGATAAGGAGTTTAATAAGAGAAGGAGTACCACCGATGCTGTAAAGATCATTGAAGACGTATTTACCAGATGGTTTGAGGTCTGCGAGGAAAGGTGTTCGGTCAGAAACAGCTTGGAAATCATCGATTGTAAGCTTGATTCCTACAGCATCTGCCATAGCAATAAGATGAAGAACAGCGTTAGTAGATCCTCCAGTAATGGTAACGAGAACCATAGCATTTTCGAAAGCCTTTCTGGTCATGATATCTCTAGGTCTGATGTCCTCCTTGAGAAGAGTTTTGATTGCCCCACCAGCCGCGTAACACTCAAGCAATTTGGCCTTTGAATCTGCGGGGTTGGTAGAAGATCCAGGAAGAGTCATTCCCATGATTTCAATAGCAGATGCCATTGTGTTTGCGGTATACATTCCACCACATGCACCTTGACCCGGGCAAGCATGACGAATAACATCGAATCTTTGTTCTTCTGTAATCTCTCCAGTAATGAACTGTCCGTAGGCTTGGAATGCCGAGATAATATCAATATCTGCGTTGTTTTGAGTTGCGGCACATCCGGGTTTAATCGAACCGCCATAAACCATAAGAGCTGGTCTGTTGACTCTTCCAATTGCCATCATAACACCAGGCATATTCTTGTCGCATCCAGGAATCGAAATGTTTGCATCATACCATTGCCCACCCATAACAGTTTCAATACTATCCGCAATCAAATCTCTTGATTGAAGACTGTATCTCATACCGTTTGTGCCCATAGAAATACCATCCGAAACTCCAATGGTATTGAATTGATATCCTACCAAACCCGCTCTCTCTACTCCCTCCTTCACTTTGTGGTTGAGCTCCAAAAGATGCATATTGCAAGGATTTCCTGACCACCATACTGAAGAGATACCGACTTGTGCTTTATTCAGTGTTTCCTCGGTCATACCAGTGGCATACAACATTGCCTGCGAAGCACCTTGGGATTTTGGTTGTGTAATAGTAGATGAGACTCTGTTGAGTTGTGGTTCTGAGTCTGAATTGGAGGATCTGCGGAGATATGAGGTGGAAGATAAAGAGCGTCTGTACAGAAAGTTAGGCAATTGAAAGGGAATCGACTTTGCAGATACTTACACATATTGTGAAGCTTTTCTTGTGGTGAGAAGAGAGGCATTTGCCCTCGTTCTCAATTGTGAGAGCATATTTGAGGGATGTTGTCAGTAAAGTTGATTACTTTTACTCTTGTCTTTGTCGATGCTTGAAAATTTCAGGATGGAAGAACAAGTATGAGAATTCTCTTGTACTTCTCTTACAAGCAAAGACGAATGGAGAATAGAAGCAATTGACGCTTTCCAAATAGTCAACGCTACCCACTTCAACACTACCCACTCCAAGTATGAGCAAGAAATTATTTCTCGAGATCGATATCGGAGCCCATTATCGTCGTTTTCCGACGAGCAGAGCGACTCTTACAGCAAACTATTATAAAGGTTGATATATAATACGTCTATATAATATAATAATTATATATATTAATAATTGGTTTGAATAGGAATAATATAGAATAAACATATTAAAATCTATATATATAAATACTCTAGATTTATTTTTTGATAAATTGTTTAATAAAGATATTTTATATCTTTTTTAATTTAAGTTATATCATTGAGTTTTCAATATTACAAATCAATTACTAAAAACACAACTTAGTTTCATATGAACTCTCATATAAATGTTTATAGTAGATTACTATCTAATAAGTCTCTAAAGAGATAAGGAAACCTCTAAATGATCGAAGCCCGGATAATCCGCGAACCCCAGCTTTGCTCAGTGTTGCTGATTGAATTAATTATGATTGGTTGAAGATTTTATAAATCGGAGCTTAAATTTAATAATTCACTACCTATCAAAGTACCGGAAAAGGATGGTGGAGCTTAAAGGGGGGTATAAAATGATCATCTCTTTTATTACTCCTTTTAAATCAATACACCTTCTTTTCTACCCAAACCCAAAAACCTGTCTTCTACCGGTGCACTTCAAATATTAGATGCCCCGGCCAAGCCAAATAGGTATTAAAGACTCATAGTTTCCGCAATGGCAACGCTTAATGTCTTCAACTCATAACCACCTCTCTTTTTACATGAATCTTACTTGAATACCGAGTAATTCTCTCCCAGCAAAAGGGTAAGAGAGATGACAATAAGAAGACCAAAAACTCCCTCAAACCTTCACAACTCACAGTCATGCATGCTCAAGAGAATCGTTCCTATTTCGGAGCAACCATTCATTACTCCACCATTAATCTGCAATTCTCAATCGTCGGAATCCCTTCTCCCCGTCCCAAATCCCACATCCCTTCTCCCCGTCTCAGAAGCTCCACCATCCATGGTAACATTCGCATCGCACGGTTCGCAAAAGATAAAACGAACCCGAAAACACATGTGAGCCGATTCATTCATCCACAATTTATGTCACATCAGTCCGCACATACCGAGGTGATAGGACGTCGCACCTCATATCAGAAACAGAAACAGCTACCAATGCTTGTGATATTGACATTTGGAGCCAAGGACGTTCTGCAGGTACAAGTACTGGCGCCATGGGCACCTGGATATTGAAAGATATAAGTGTCAAAGTTGATTTCCTTTTGATGATTTGTTCTTTCCTCGAACATTGTCCTTTCCCTACCTACTGGTGTATTGCATTTTCGTTATCTGTTTGCCCTACATATCGCCAAAACTGCCTACCTGGGTACGATACGGAACTCTTGCCATCATCTCAGAGAGAATAACCCCGCTTAAAGCTCCCATCTCACAAATAACATCGACAACTAACAATAAACTTTCAACGCATATCAAATCATGGCAGCTGGACCCGAAGTTACGTTGAAGGATCTAAGTGGAGATTGGGTCATGGTAAGAACTCCCCTCTGCCTCATCCATATCACCCCACCCTCCTATCTCATATTCTAACACCACGTAGAACAAAACCCTCTCCGACGATACCGACGCCGTTCTCGCTCTCCAAGGTATAGGCTGGTGGACACGTAAAGCCATTTCCCTCGCCACCGTAACCCTACACGTCAAACAATACACCGATGAAAACCAAGTCCCACACATCGACATTGATCAAACCGCGACTGGTGGTCTCAAAGGCACTTCCGAATATCGAGTCCTTGATTGGTCCGTTCGTACGCACGAGGATCACTTGTTCGGGAAAATCGCGGGGCAATCCCGTTTTTGTACTCTAGAACAAGCGGCGGAATTTGATGATGATGCGTTTCTGAGAGACGGGTGGTTAGAGGGAGAG